TAAAGCACTGAGACAGAGGTGCTGTCTCTCTCGCCCCCCCCCCCTCCTCCCTCTCTCTCTCTCTCTCTCTCTCTCTCTCTCTCTCTCTCTCTCTCTCTCTCCCCACCTCTCTCTTCTCTTGCTTATTACTTCGATTTTATGAGACATGGTCTCAATCTATATAGCCAGGGAACTTACTCTGTGGCCCAGGCAGGCCTCGAATTCGTGGGCAATTCTCTTGTGTCTGCTTCCTAAGTGCTAAGATTAAGCCGTGAACCACTATACCTGGCCTGACTTTCTCATTTTCACCTGGACTTGAGGCCACCTGAAACCCAGACAAAACTAAATATAGCATGCCAAGACATCTCCCTCTGTGACAAAAAGCAGCCCTCTGTGACTGGCCTGAGGAATGGGTAAGAGAGCCCTAAGGCCAGAGAGAGTGAACAAAAATGTATTAGTTACTTTTCTCCTTGCTGCAACTAAATACCTGATAAAGCAACTTAAAGGGAAAGTTTCTTTTGGCTGACAGTTTGAGGGTACAGTCCATCATGGCAGGGAAGGCATGGCTGTAGGGACATGAGGCTGCTGGTCATATCACACCCACAAGTCAGGTAGCATACAGAGATGAAGGCTGATGCTCAGCTCACTTTTGGTCCAGGACCCCAGCCCGTATGATGATGCTGCCCACATTTAGGGTAAGTCTTCTCACCTCAATTAACCCAAACTGGAAGCTCCCTCACAGACATACCCAGAGGTTTGTAGCCTAGATGATTCCAGATCCTGCCAAGTTGACAATCAATATTAGCCTTTCCCCAAACCCTTGTGCATCCTTCCTGCCCCAGCCCTTGGGTTATCCAGTGCACTAAAAGCCAGAAGAGCAAACATGAATCTCTGAGTCCGTCTCCTCTTCTCTCCTCCCCTCCCCTCACCCTCCCTCCTCTTCTCTCCTCTTCTTTTCTCTAGAGAAAAGGAAAATTTGGGTTTAGCCAGAAGACAAAGTGAGCCTGGAGGTCAGGGTCTCATGGGATCTAGAAAGTATTAGAGAAATCATAGCAAGGAGGAAGCTCAAGAAAATCACTGCATAAGGTAGTGATCACTGCATTACCTGAGCTCACCCCAAAGTTGGCCATAACTAAATACCAGAGACATATAGAGTACCAGGCTGGTCTTGGGTTCAAAACTAGAACACCACTGAAAAATCCTTCAAAACTGAGTGAACTCTGAACCACACACAGAGAAGACACAGAAAATTACTGTCCAAACCCAAACAGGTTGATCACCTGTTAAAGGAAAGCAAAAGATTAGTATTCAAAATGGTATTTAAACAAGGCTCATAGCCCATGACACAATACCCATAATGTCTGAGACACAATCGGAAATGACTTGATATTTGAAGACCTAAGAAAATAACATCTGTAAAAGGAAAAGACAAAATGAAAACTAAAAGATAACAACTCTAAGACAACATGGCTATTGGAATTGAGGCATTCAAACAGCTATTATAACCATGCTTCAAGAAAGAAGCGTAAATCCATTTGCAACTAAGAAAGAGACACATCATCTCAACAAAGAGATAGATGGTGCAAACAAGGAACCAGATTAAAATTTTAGAAATAGAAAATACTAACCCAAATGACAAACCTCCACTCATGAGCTGTGGCACACACTCATACATACCCACACATATCACACACATACACACAATAATAATAGATGAAATTAATATATATAAGGATGTTTTGCACTTCAAATAAAATACAGAACCCTTATCACCATGCTAGTCTCTTTACCCTCTCATTGTTCAGTGTAGTGGCCACTGTATTAAATACATATAAATCAAAAACACCACCAGATAGAACTATGATTTTTGCTTTCAATTATAGTATATTTACCCAGATATTTGCGATTTATGTCTCTATTCTTTCCTTTCTATTGGTATAATTTCCTTCTTCCAGAACTTTGTGTCATGTGTGTGTTATATGTGCATGTATGCACGTGGGTGTGTGTTCACAACAGCACCTTCACACTCCACCTTATTTACATGAGACAAAGTTTCTCAGTGAATCTGGAGCTGGTCTGGCAGTCAAAAAAGCCCCAGTGATCTTCTTGTCTTCACCCTTTATCCACAGTGTTCACCATACCCTGGCTTTTTACATGGGTGCTAGGGATTTGAACACAGGTCCTCATGACTACACGGCAAGCTCTCTTACCCACTGAGTCATTTCCCCAGCCCCAGAACTTTCTTTAATGTTTCTTTCAGTGTGTTTGTTGGCAATAAATTCCCTGTTTTTCTTCATCTGAGAATATTAGTTTACCCTCATTCCCTAAGAAATTTCTATTTATGAGATGTAGAATTCTTGGTTGACAGGATCTTTTTTTTCTATTAGTATTATAAAAGAAATGCTCTATTGAGGTTTCTAATATGAAATCTGCAGTCATTCAAATTGCTGTTCTAATGCATTGATTTTGTCCAGATGCTTTCAGGATTTTTTTAGTGTCTTTAGTTCTTTATTTTTATTTTATATGTATGAGTATATTGCCTACATGTAGGTAGGTGCACCCGTGTTGTGCAATGTCCAAGGAGGACAGAAGAAGGCTTCGGATACCCTGGAACTAGAGTTACAGATGGTTGTTAGCGACCATGTGGGTGCTGGGAACCAAATTTTTTTTATATTTTATTATATTTTACTTATTATTTTTATTTTATGTGTATGAGTGTATTGCCTGCATGCATGTTAAGTGCACCCATGTAGAGAAATGCCTTTGAGGTCAGAAAAGGGCATCAAATTGCCCTAGAACTGGAGTTAAGGATGGTTGGTAGCCCATGTGGGTGCCAGGAATCAAACCTAGATGGTCCTCTGCAAGAGTAGTCAGTGCTCTTAACCTCTGAGCCATCTCTCCAGCCCCTTTTTAATTTTATGTGTATGAGTGTTCTGTCTGTATACATGGAAGTGCACTTGTGTATGTAATACCTGTGGAGGCTAGAAGAAGGCGTTGGATCCCCTGGAACAGGAGTAAATAGATGGTTATCAGCTGCCACGGGGATGCTGGGAACAGAGCCTGGGTCCCCTGGAAAAGCAGCCAGTGTTCTTAACCACTGGGCCATCTCTCCAGGCCCCAACTCTAAGCTTCTGACAGTGTGACCCAGTACATTTCTCCTTACAGCATCAGATGCTGACTGGACTGGAAGGGGAAGGGGGAAGGTCCAACCTCCCCAGTGGAATCCTCCTACCTGTGGTGTGTTTTCTAACGAATGTGTGTTTCTAATGAATGGCCTGATTCAGTGTGATCTTCTGATGCATCTAAGAAAACATCACTTGGTTGAATGTAAACACACACTTTTACTACCTTATTTTGTTAGGTCTTCATCTCTTCATACACTGACTGCCTCAGAAGACTGATGTGACTAAGCCTCTTGGTCTCAGATCTAGGAGCCACCATCGTGTTATGCTTTTATCTCCATTTCACAGGTGCAGCACGAGCCTGAGGAACATTTATTCTCCTGTTGTTTTACCTCAGGCTTTCCCCACTATGTCATGTAGACTGTGGTCAGGTCAAAGGTGGCCCACAGCCCCACAGTGGCATGGTGCCACTCAGGAGAGAGGTGAGAGGTCAGATTCAGGAGAAAATGCTGACTTTTGGATCCATTCTGTCTATAAGGTGATGTTGGTGGATGTGTGGATTAAGACCTCATGGGCCTGGGAAAAGGCAAGGACAAGCTGGATTGAGGTTTACTGGGAAGTCCATAGCCTTTCCTTCTTTTACCCAAACTCTTCTCTCCCCAGCCTCTCCCTGCCTGTAGACCAGGCAGAGCCAGCTGGCTGCTCCTCCCAACCTTTGCCCAGGACAGGCCCTGGAATTCCCTGCTGTTGCTAAGGAACAAGACACAGGTCTCTTGTTCAGGACATCCCATCACCCCAGTCCTCAGGGCCACTCTGTGCCTCTGCTGCTCCTGCTAGGGAGGTTCTCAGCTGGCCTGGTAGAGCCAAGGAGGGCAAGGAGAAGGGACCCCCAGCTTCAGCAAGCAGACTCTGGGCGGGGGAGGCACACCTTCCTTCAGAATGGGTGGAAGGTAAAGAGAAAGGTAAAAAGGTAAATGGGTGGAAGGTAAAGAGAAAGTAGCCCAGTCTCCAGACTTGACTTGAATGTGAAAGAACAGCTTGCGGCAGCAACAGCCATCCAGCCAGCCCCAGGCTCAGATCAGGAAGGCACTGCCTGGCCCCAAGCCCAGCTCCTGGCTGGACCTGGAAGGCAGGGGGAGGCTGGGAGAAGAGGGACCCTGAGGTAGTCAGCCAGGTGCTTTCTGGGTGGTTCTCTCCCAGGAAGGGACCCTGAAGAGGGATGCAGACAGGGCAGCAACAAATCCCAAGGAGGGTGTGTGACAGTAAGGCTGCTCCTGTGCCAGAAGCAGAGGGTCGCCCCAGGGGTAGAGAGAAAGACAGGCTACAGGCACAAACAAGTGACCCAACACCAAGACCAGCCCTGTGACCTTGACTTGACCTCATTAATTCCCTGTCTCCTCTGGCATAACAACCACTTGGGGAGGGAGGGTTACCATCTGAGCACCAGGTGTATCTGTAGAAGGCTAAGCTCACAGTAGGTCCTCAACAGATGGCCTTGTCTTAGCTTAAAAAAAAAAGAAGCCTCTGATTATATTGAGTACCGGGAGCGGCTGTCGCTGGCATCTCATGGAGTCGTTTGCCCCAGGATTCAAAAGTTCCTTAGGATGTAAAGTCTAGCAAAGTCTCAGGGCGGGGAGCAGCGTGGGTCCCAGGCCCAGTCGCTGGGATCTCCTGCTGGCAGCGGCGAGAAGCAGGACCGGCTCCGCTGGAACTTTTTTTTCTCCTCCCAGGCGACGTCCGTCCGATGGGTGTGTCGGGCAGGAGGTGATATTTGAAGGGCTGCGGGCGAGCCTCGGCGGACCAGGGCGCGCGGAGCAGGGGTGACAGCATGGCCTCCCGGGACCCGCCGCCCGCCACCAGCTACGCCCCGCCCGACGTGCCCTCCGGGGTCGCGGTGTTCCTCACCATCCCCTTCGCCTTCATCCTGCCGGAGCTGGTGAGTGCGGCCACCTGCAGGGAGGGAGGGGTGCCTGGGAGGGGGACAGGCCAGCGATGCGGCCATCTTCCACTTTCCCTGCCTGGCCCCAGGCGGGGTCCCTCTGGGATGGGTTTTCCTCCTCGTCTGAGGGTGAGGACCACCCTCAGGATACTTGGCTGCTGGAGGGTCGCTGCCACCTTCATAGACTACCCAGGCCCCTCAGAAAGTTCTTATGTAGTTTCTTTTCCTCCAGCTATTTGTGCTTTCCTGAGGTTCAAACTAGGGAATCGCTAAAGAAGCTTCTGAAAGGAGGTCTTCCAGCACTTTCTCATGGTCATATCGGCTGACTTTGCACTTTGACTTATCTGGGCTCCTCATGGAAGGTAGCTTATGACAGGATCGGCCATAAAACAATCTCCTGATGCCCAAGTTACACTGGGGAAGCTGTCACCGCATGACCCTGGGGCACCCCAGAGCAGAATTGTGGTGCTGTTCCCTGCTTGGGCTGAGCACTGTGCTCAGTAGAAAACAGGTAGCCTCTGCTCCTACTGCTGTTGTCCCCATTCCCCAGAGCAGTACTGAAGTCTGGAGCACAGTGCAGGGGAGAAGAGTGGTTCTTTGTATATTGAAACCTCCTGACACATTTAGTTAGAAGGTGATAGTTTCTTCCTGGCTCTGGATTGGACATAAAGTGGGAATGGCCGGCTCTTCCCAATCTCTGTGTGGAAGGCTGTATACCACTGAGTAAACTTTAGGCAAATTGGTTAAGGGTAGTCACTGATGTCCTCGAGAAAGAGAAGTCAGGCTGAGTGGGTCCCACAGGTGGGTGACTCTAGCTGAGACCCCACCCAAGAGACAGGTTTCTTTCAGCTCACCCCCTCCCCCTCCCCCAAATGTGGGCATCCTGCCAAGCTGATGACAAGAACGCAGTGAGCCAGAGCCCGGGGTGTGGCCTCATTTTGGAACAGCTTCATGGGTGCCAGGACTGGGGTTGGCTCCACCACTTTTTATTGAGCATATGCTTGTCGGTCACGTAAGTTACAGGTGGATGGGCCACTGCCTCCCAGGGCATCTCTACAGCTGAAGAGAGACTCCAGAACATTTCTCCAGTCAGATTACAGCATCAGCCAGGAGAGACTCTCTGTCCAAAACAGGCCAGGGAGGGGGTCAGACCTGTCACTGGAAGTTGGACCTTAGAGGACAGGTTGGCATTCCCAATTGGGAGGTGAGAGAGAAGGTGTGGCGGCCAAGAGAGAAAACCTGGCAAAAGGTGGAGGGATGAAGCAGGAACACACCCAGGTAGAGAATTGTCTGGAGAGAGGCCGATTGGTTTCCCTACCTGCCCTACTCCTGCAGTAGGATTCCTGGAAAGGTGAAGTGCCTGCTTGTGTGGGGCCTGGGACTTAGGAGGGTTGGGAACATTGTTTTCGGTTTGATTTTCTTAATTTATGATTAAATAATTTTAGATTTATCCCCAAGTTTCAGTGGTAGAGGAAGTTCTATCTGCTGTGCACTCAATGTCCTACAATATCCACAGACTTCACAACACCGCTCTCAAAATCAGGAAATTAACATTGATACTCTGCTATTGACTATTGTATTTAAATTTTATTCATTTCCCCCACAAATGTCTTTCTTCTAGTACCAGATCCAAGTCAGGACTGTATGCGGCTGTCCTTTCACCTTTGATCTGGCACAATTCCTAAGTCATAGTCTTGACACTTTAAAGAACACTGATTGGTTTCTTTGTGCAGTGCCCTTCCAGTGGGCCTTGCCTGATGTTTCCCCTTTGAAAAAATTTATTTTTAATTTGCATGTAATCCTTATTCATTGTTGAACATTTAGAAAACTGCCCATGCTGTTTCAGCCCTTTCCGTGAGTATGCCCAGCGTGGACTCCACAGTGGAGAATGCGTGGATGGGGGATGGGAAAGAGAAAAAGGGGAGAAGGTCAGGTTCTGATCCCCTTTGTAGAAGGGATAATGAATGAGGAGCCTCATGTGTCCCCCTCTGATGTCCACTGGGGCTGTGAGAAAACCCACCTGACCCTAGTCTTCTGGTCTGAGGTACAATTCTAGAGAAGAGCTTTAAAAGCAAGAAGCTGAGGCCATCAGTGCAGGGCAGAGAATGCAAAACCAGTAACAGATCCCATGATTTCTGCAGTAGGATAGCTGGGGGGGGGTGTGTGTGACATCACACGGTGGTATCTGCAGCCACCTCCCTTGACCAGCAACCACTGTCTGTGGGGTACCATAGGGAACCCAAGTGGGTCTGTGTTGAGGACCTGCCCCTGTGAATCCAGGACCCCAACCAGAGCAAGGCAGACAGGGCAGGGTCTTCCCCCCTGGCCATGTACCACGTACCACCCTGACTGGTGAGGTGTAGCACCCTGACTAGTGAGGTGTAGCCTCTGGCTCTTCGTGTTTTTTGAGGATGACAGGTTAAGGTAACACAGGCTCCCCAGAAGCCTGCACTAATGACCCTTGCCCAAGATGGTTTATTTTCAATCTTCAACATTAAAATTCACATTTTAAAACTTTATTGTACTATAATGATAGATTTATAGGCAGTTGCAAAAGCAGTTGGGGGAAGCCTCCCGTATTTTCCTCAGGTCCCCAGTGCCTATAGCTGCCCTAACTAGAGTACAGTCTCTAAAATATTTTATTTATCATTTTTATTTTATGTGTATGAGTGTACTGCATGCATGCATGTGAGTGCACCTGTGTCGTGCAGTGCCACAGAGGTCAGAAGAGGGCTTCAGATTCCTCTGGAACTGGAGTTAAGGACAGTTCGTAGCCACCATGTGGGTGCTGGGAATCGAGCCCGGGTCCTCTACAAGAGCAGTCTGTGTTCTTAACTGCTGAGCCATCTCTCCAGCCCCTAGAGTACAGTTTCAAAACTAGGAAACTGAGGTTGATTGAATAAATCTCTACCTTGCTGGTGTAGATCTTGTGATCATAACCAAGGTTCGGGACTGTCCCATAATCACCAAAAGCCTCCACTTGCTATCCCTCTAGAGTTACCTCAAGCCATCTCACGCTCCCTCACCTCATTCCAGACAGTCCCATGGCAATCACATCCACTATATAATTTTATTTCAAGAATGTTAAATAAATAAATGTGACTGCACAGTATATGAGCTCTTGACACTCACTTGTTCCGTGAAGCATAATATCCTCGGTGTCCATTGGAGTTATTGCCTGTATCCAGAGTTTGCTCCTTTTTATTGCTAAGTAATATTCCACGGTAAGGAATTTACCATCATCTAAGCAGTCTCTATTGGATGTTTTCAGTTGGCTGCTTCAAAATAGAGCTGCAATTGACATTAATGTTCAGGGGTATATTTTCCCTTCTCTGGGAAAAATGCCTGAGTGTAACTTGCTGGGCAGAATATCAAATGTCTGCTTGGTTTTTATTAAGAAACTAACAAGCAGTTTTCCAGAGTGACTGAAAAATACTTTTTGCATTTTTCATCCCACTAACAAGGTGTGAAACTTTAAGAGTCAAATGAGGGTTTTTGCTCAGTCTACTGTTCAATCTGGATTTCTTATTTGAAAATATTACTTTGAAAACATAATTTCTGAGGGGGAGGAAGCTTTGACTCAATGGTGAGATAAGACCTCCATTGATTCCATGTCTCCCAATGTAGAGTGTGGGCACCTGCTTATGCCAGCTCTGGGCTGAGCCTGAGGAGGGCGTGACATCCAGTCCTGCATAGCTCTGCAGACCAGAATCTGCAGGTGGCATGCCCCCCACATCGTGGCTTGGGTGGTTTGAGCTGACTCCTGAGTTCGTTGGCAGCTGAAAGGTGTAAGGTGAGCGCTCATGCCAGTGGCTGTCCCTGAGGAACATGTTATGAATAGAGGCGCAAGAAAGTCATCTAACCCTTAACCTTCACATTAGTTAACTTGTTAATTAGATTTTTGCCTAATTAAAAAGCAGCAGCTAAAAAGAAAGCCAGCTAATTAAAAGGGGAGGAGGCCCTAGGTTCTCCTGAATCTCTCCTCACCTCCATGTTGGACAGAAGGAACACCCAGATGGCCTGGGAAGTTTATTCTCTTCCCTTTGTGGAGGTTCATCCTTAAGTGTTGCTGTCTCCCAGTTTTCCCTTCAGCCTGCTGGCCACTCTGATCTGCCTGTTTGAAGTACACCTAGGCCAACTCTGCAAGGATTAAAGTGACAGGTAGGCTGGGAGGAGGAGTTATAACAGTCCTTAGAAGTTGGTTCCCTAAACTGGACATGGTGGCACTTGCCTTTAATCCCAGCACTTGGGAGGCAGAAGCAGCAGATCACTGTGAGATCGAGGCCGGCCTGGTCTACATTGCTAATTCCAGGCCAGCTGGTGCTACAGGGACAACAGGGAGATCCTGTCTCAAAAAAAAAAAAAAAAAAAAAAAAAAAAGTATTTCCTGTCCCTGCTGTCCTTTTCTTTCAATGGTTCTACTTCAGAGGAGCAGCAACATAAACCCCATTTCTCATGGTCTGATTTTATCATTTCTCCTGCCACTTGGCTTGAGCCCTAGACTCTGCTCTACAGGGGCTGAAAATAAGGAGAAGCCCTGGGGAGGTGCCTGTTATAAAAGCAAAAGGATCTGAGCTCACATCCCCAGTACCCATGTAAAAGCCAGGCAGAGCAGACCCTGGAACCCTATCACTGAGGGTGGGGGAGTATGAGACAGGTGGAGGCTGGGGCTCACTTGCCAGCCAGCCCAGCCCAAACAGTGAGCTCCAGGTTTAGTGAGAGACCCTGTCCTCTAAAATAATGTAGAGAAGCCATCAAGGAAGACACCCGATGTCAACCTCTGGTCTCCACACATGCCAGCACAGGTGAACACAAGAGCACACCCACAGAGGCATACACCACACACACGTACATCACACACACCATACTCACACATACACCACACTCACAGATACATCACACACACGCACCACACACACATATACCACATACACCACACTCACATATCACAAATACATATACCACACACATATGTACTCTCCCTCCATACATATACA